GTTGGGCTGTTGGGAGCTACCATTTCCCGTTGCTCTCATTTCCCACACATATCTGGGCTGAACTGAAAAGGAGAGGAGGGAGAAGAAATCTCTTCCAAAACCATACAATGAACCCTTGTCTCCCCATGTATTTTTGTGAATGCTATGATGTGCTCTCTCCACATCCTGTTCTCATGTAGGATTTCCACTTCCACCCCTAGGGCTGCACCGTCTGTAAAGGGAGGCACCTCTGATGACTGCATATCAAACTTAGCTGCCATCTGGGGAATGCAGTGACCCAGGACTGCAACTAATCTGTCTTTCCAGGTCTACCTTCCCCTGCCATCCCCTCACCTTGTTCAGATGCCAGCCAGCAAAGGGATTTCTTTTCTCATGCCATATCCGAAGCTTATAAAACGTGCCCAGATCAGGGAGCTCAATCTATAAAGGGGGAGAAATTAAAAATGCATTATCCATTTCTTAAGGCAGAAAAGCAAGTACACAAAGGACACCTCTGGACACCTTTTTAGAGCCAAATCAGAGAGGAGTCTAAAACTAAACTAAAAAACCTAAATTTTGTTCTTTAAAAGTAATAAATTCTACTCTGCTAAGAGCTTGATGCTTCTCTTTTATGGAGAGGAGAGCATATAATTTTAATCCATACACTTTTGATCATGACAGCTGCTTGAAACCACTCATCCCAGTAAGAACTAAAGCCAGTTCCCAAACTTCAGCTCTTTCTCAAAGAGGGTCCACAAAGCACAGCCACAATTCCTCCAGAAGGCATCTGTCTGCTGCAGCATCTTTGCTGCTGCAAAGAGTGTAAAACTTTTGCCTTCAGCCATGCATTAAAATTGTTTGTTTCTTATTTTTTTCTCTGACCAGTCCCCAGTTAACTTTTAAGCATATTTGTTGCTAAATACAAGAAGACCCTCTCTAGGCTCCAAACTCAACAAGTTCTTAAGCTCAGCTCCAAACATTCAAGGAAGCTCGCATCCAAGGAGGCTGAAGACCAGATCACCGGGGAGAGGAAACACCACTCGTAATTCTTCTGTATATAGCTAATAACCTCTTAGGCACTAGGGAAAAAAATAGCTAAATTACTAGCTTTAGAAAGACATGGCCTAAATGGGTGGATGAATAATTTGCATCACCAGCAAATTGAATGAATTCACCTCCACTTCAGCAGGATCTACTGAGGTAAAGACTTCATGCTGTTGCTTTTTGTGTGCAGGGCTGAAGCTGATGCCCCAGGAAACAATACCAAGCCAAATTTACCACTTGCATAAGATTCGTACCATGAACTTGTCAGTCTGTCCGGTTTCAAAGTTGTCTGAATTGTTGTCCAGCTTCATCTCATCTGACTTCCCCTTGTCTCCATAAATCTGGAAGAAGATGGTGGCATCCGTCCCTGCATTCTTGATGTCACTTGTCCAGATCCACAGAGACCAGGGGCTTTCTACAAAGAAAAGTTCAAGACATTTTGTTTAAAAAGTAATTTCTAAGGTAAAAACTACAGTTATCATTCTTTCCTCTGGAAGAGGATAGGATGGCATGACAGTCTTCAGGATATTTTATCCTTTTCTGCACAAACATGATCAAGCTGCTACATGATATACACAAATGAGATTGCCTGGAAATCTAATTCTATGTTTTCATTTAAAATAAAATGAGATAAATCATGAATCACCACTTTCATGGTGAACCATATTCTTCTGTGTCACACATTTCTAACAGGGTAATGCAGGGATGTACTTCATCTCTGTAGTTTAAGTACACAGTCAGCTTTCTTTTTGTCAACACATCTCCAGTTACTTGTGTATGGTGCAAAGCAGATCCAGGTAGCTCCTAAAAATTGCTCCAGATGATCTGTGTTTGGAGCAACGAGGAGTATGGGTATGGCCATGTATGAGTTCATCCTGAGCTAACAAGCCTTCCTGAAGTTGGATCAATTACTCCAGACATGGCTGTTGCAGGACAGGCTGTCTAAGATCCCATTCAGGTATCTCCAGCCAGTCTGCACCATGTGGGGCAAATATGCTCAGAGCAACATAGAGGTATTTTTCAAAAGTTTTGAAGTTATTTACATGCCTAAATCCTACCTGACTTCAACTAATACTTGTGCTACTCTAAGCAACATGCCCAAAGATTGGGTAAAAGCTCCAACATTTTCCTTTCTTAAGTCTTCACCCCATACTTTGCCTGTAAAAGCAGTCCACCTTCAGAATCTTTATCATGGTTTTCATACCAGGGGATGGTTGCCTATGTAAAGATGACATTATTTCCTCAAAAGAGCCCCTCATCTGCATTCTTTATCGGTAATAATGTGTTTCAGTTCTGTAGGCTTTGCAGCACCCGCAGAAGAGGGAACAGGCTTCTTTCCTGACTCAGACATCAGCTGAATTATTAACAAATCTTAATGAAAGAATTGCTCACTCTTTTGGTATGCCAGAGCCCAGATTGACATGGCTTGACCTTCACAGCCCAGAATGGAATACAAAAATAAAATGACATGCATATAAATTAGATCCTTACTGATGTACTCAGCACTTGACTGTGGAAAAGGGGGAAAAGCTACTGAGGGGAAAGAAGGAACTCTCTTCTAGAAAAAGTTTTGCCCCTATATGCATGATGTTCATGACCACTCTTTCCTGAAAAACATCAGCAAGTTTTATCTGAGCAGAAATGAAGTTAAGGCAAGTTTGTGTGTGGCATGTGATACAGCAGCCCTGCTCTCCCTGGGTAAAAGAGCAAGGGAAACTCAGACACCAGAAACTTCTCTCATCTCTCTGGTTTGGCCTCCCTGATATCCTGCTGAAGAAAAGGATGAGCAATGCATGCAGGGATGGGGAACAGGGAACTTGTACCAGGATTAAGTTCCTGATAGCGGGATATCGGGGAGAAGCCACACAGGGAGAAAAGTGGGTGAGCTAGGTCTGCAGCTGCTGGAGCAGACCAAGCATATCCCCAAATACCCACATTCATCCTTCCAGGGCTCTCTGGGCACATTCCCAATCCCTATCCCTTCACATCAAGGGATACAAGCAGATTGGAAATTCTCAGAACCACAGTGAATATTCCCCAGGGCACAAACACCATGGATTGTTTGTACCCTGGAGGGCTAGACCTGGCATTACAGTTTTCAGGATAGCATTTGAGACAACAAGGGGAAAATTAAAGGCTGAGAATAAATAGAAGCTATATGATGGGCTGCAGTCCACAGGGGGAACAGCTTGCAAACGCTGTGCAGGCAGCCGTTTCACCATGGATACCCAAAGTGAGGTTGAACCAAGCTTTGATCATCTCTACAGAAACGGACAGTCCTGTATGCATGGGGAGATAGGCAAAATGACATAATAGGTCTTTTCTAACTCCAAGTCTTACGCTTCTAAATCTGGCAGATAAAGGTCACAAATTTCTCAAGGCTAATGCTCTCTATCTCCTGCACTGCAGCAGCAAGGGAATTAGCCTGTCAATAACAGTCAGAGCTGATAATAGAGGGTTAGAGGTTGCAGAGGCTTTAGTTAAATGGACCGAGTCAGAGAAGCAACGTGGTTCTAACACTGACTAACATTTAGACAAAGCTATTTAAATGAACTGCTGTTTAAGCAGGAGCCCACCCGAAGCATTCCGATTAAACTGGATGTATCATCCTAATTAAAACATTCTGCTTACACATACACACTGGTACAAGCAAGACGGCAGCGATCTGTTCTGTGTGGCAAGCAAGGCTGGGTGCTGGAGCAGTGTGTGGATGGATGGACATGTTGGTATCCTGCCCTAGCTATTATAGAGCAACACCTCCCAGCAAACGTGTGCCATTGCCTCCCTCTAGAGAAAGAGAGGCTTCAAATGAAGCACTGGTGTGCCTCAGGAGGCACTTTCGGTAACTGGACAGGACTAAGACATGTTTTTTTCTCTTAGGCCAAGAGTTAAAAAGTTGAAGTTAGTGGGAAGAGTTTGGGTTTTCTTCCTGTTTTCCTCCATGTTTGTATTTTTATTATACTTAGGTTTTGATTCTATACGGAACAAGAAAGCTTTGCTTCTGTAGTCATAAGATACACACCCTGGCTTTCCTGCAAAGGTGAAATGTCAGCAGAGGCAGCCCAAAGCCCAGTGAACCTAGGAAGGCTGCCGGGTCCCACTTCTTCCTTTAAGAAAATGATTGAAATTCTTCAAAATATGTTTAAAGTTTCATTTTAAACTCCCCAAACCAGGATGTTCAAAGCTGATACTCATGCAGGACTCGATTTCCTTGAGCATCTACTTGACCATAGGTCTACTACATGTCATGTTGTGTGGGTGACATTCAGGTTGCTGTCGCATATATGGGGATCTCAGGAGGCTCCTGGGCACTTGTACTTACTTTTCAGTCTTCTCTGGCGTAGTGAGACCATTTCATAGAGTTCCCGCTCTATAAGACCATCTCCTTCATCTTCATCCAGCCATTTATCACAGGGGAAGGTCTGTTCAATACCAGTGAATGGGCAATAAACCACCACCTAGGAAAAGAGACTGGGAAGGTGAATATTCTTTTGCAGGCAGCTCACAGCACCCTGATACTGAAAACTAAAGTAACTGAACCAAAGATACAGCTAGAAATCTTGCTTTTGCTCACAAAAAATCAAGTTTTCTGGACCAACATGAACTGGACTGATTGCACAATTCTCGATTTAGGGTACAGCTAGAACCCATCTGTGCTGTTATTTCTACTTTCCAGAAGTAGATCAAAATGGGTCAGCAAAGAAGAGGTAGAACACCACAAGGGGAAGGGAATGAGAACAGGCAGTGAGTCAGTACTGTGTCAGTGTGCAGCACATGCCCTGAACCACAACAGCGCACAGTAGGGTTTTGAAGGGAGCACAAGATACAAAAAGCCTTCAAGCACATAGAATCACAGAATGGTCTGTGTTAGAAGGGACCTTAAAGCTCATCCAGTTCCAACCCCCTGCCATGAGCAGGGACACCTTCCACTAGAGCAGGTTGCACCAAGCCCCTGTGTCCAACCTGGCCTTGAACCCTGCACTGCCAGGGATGGGGCAGCCACAGCTTCTCTGGGTACCCTGTACCAGCGCCTCAGCACCCTCACACGGAAGAGCTTCTGCCTAAGAGCTCAGCTCAGTCTCCCCTCTGTGAAGTTAAAGACATTCCCCCTTGTCCTGTCCTTACAGGCCCTTGTCCCAAGCCCCTCTCCAGGTTTCCTGCAGCCCCTTTAGGCACTGGAGCTGCTCTAAGGTCTCCCCTTCAGGAGCCTTCTCTTCTCCAGGCTGACCCAGCCCAGCTCTCTCAGTCTGGCTCCAGAGCAGAGCTGCTCCAGCCCTCGGAGCAATTTCGTGCCCCTAACTCATATCCTAAACTGATTTTCCTTTCCAGGAAAACTGTATTTACTCCTAGCTTCAGGGTATGCAGCTGCCTTCCTTTCTACCCTCCAATTACCTCCTGCTGATCTTGTACATGACCTCACATCACATCTTGCTGTACTACCTCCCAGTAACAGCTGTGGTTAGCCACTTCTTTTTCTGAGCTCGAAAACAGCATCTAAAAACTTGAGAGAAGTTTGAATATAGATGATAATTTTGACATGCTCAGCATAATCCAAGACTGCTTTTCTGTCTGGACCCTTGGGGAAACATCTGAAGGTGCTTTTGGCACTGAGCAAACAATAATCTCTATCTCTGTTACTGCAAAGGGGCAATCAACCCAATTAGAGAGTGATTGACTTATGCATCTAGTGTGTCTTTGAGAGAATCAGCTACTACCATGCATTATGCATAATATTGACTTGTTAAACCAGGGATATCCTCATCTGAATAAATGCAGTTTTATTCAGGGGGAGTTTAGCCATATTTAGTTGTTGGGTTGGGGTCATGAATGGGAAAGGGGCTGACAGCTGTCTACAGACAAACAGCTTGGCCTCACCTTCTCACAATACCATCCAGAACTGACACCACAATTGTCGTGCCCAATGGTGACTCTGCTGAGCGGGCTGAGAAGGGCAGCTATCTCCACGTTAAAGAGATCTGTCCTGGCACGCTCAAATTCACCTCCTTCCAAGAAAATCTTCCCACTGTTCTTTAAGCCTTTGGACCCATGGAGGATTACGTGGATCTTGGAGTTAGTGCCAGCTCCTCTGATATCTCCTGTTACTACAGCAACGTTGTACACGATACCTGAAGGAATCAGGAATTCAGTTAGGAAGAAAAGAAGAGAGGAAAAAAAGTTGAGAGTAGTAATTCTGATTGGATTTACACTGAGCTCTACTGGTTTTCCACTGATCTTTTTAGTTCTCAACTTAAACAGACTGCAATGCTTCTTCTGCTTTGTCCCACACATACCTCTGAGAAACTCACAGCTACCTTCAGATTGTCCAAGAGAAATAGGTTTGCGGATACAGACTCCCTGTCACATGGAAAATGTGTGAGGGTTTTTTACCACCACCATATGGTGATGATTAGGTGAAGAAAGGAGAAAAATTTGAACTGGCAACTAAGTCACTTGATTTTGAGAAGTACCAAGCACCAAAAAAGTCAGAGGTTGAAGAAGTGTTGCTTTAAACAATGGTGACAAGATCTGTAACACCACAAACATTACAATGCTGCGGAAGCCAGCAGGAACTTCACTGTCACTGTGAGACCCTAAAGATCTCAGCAAAACAAAGCTTGGGAGAGGCACGATCCCAGCTGGAAGAAATAAAAGTATTCCTGAAAAGAAGTCTATGTGCATAAAAGTTTGGTTTTTTAATGTCCAGCTCTAATTATACCAACTGATTGTTGATCTAAGAAAGATAGTATTTCTTCCTACAGGCCTTAATTCCCAGAAGGCTCATTCACTGGCAACCATATACTAGACCTATATCATGATACCAAATAAAGAGACACCTCTGTACCCATAACAGTGTTTTAGGGAACATGTATAAGACAGTTGAGGCTCAAGCTAAGATCTTCCTTTTCCTAAATTACCCAGGAATTTCAATAAAGACTTGAGACAAAGTAGAAACATCAGAACTCATTCTCTTTCAAATAATCCTCTCTTTGAAGTTTATGTTTAAAAATGTATTGAAGCACCTTTCGCTATGCAAATATCTTCAATAAAACTCCTGAGAGCAGGGAAAAAAAAAAAAGCCCAGTCATGAATAGTAAAAAATAGGAAAATCTTTTAGTAAATTAATTGTATTATTTTATGATTTCTCTCCCATCTTGCCCTATTTTTTTCACGGCATGCATCCTCACATCCTGCAGTGAGAACTGTGCACCCAGACCACATTCCTTCAGCCCATGGAGGGGAGAATATGAGGACTGCAGATGTTGCAAAGAAGTAAAGAACAGCTATCATGTGCATGATCATAGTGTTAACATTTTTATGCTAATAAATAAATACAGGCAGAACTCTATCCAAGTAATCTTCTGTCTTATATTAAGTTCTTTCATTGAATTTACATCCATGTTTCTTTTAACAGAGACATACTTTTATTTTATGTTGAATGGTAAAAATGCCCCTTCTAGGGCTCAGGTCTGCCTTTCTTGTTTTGTAAAAGGATGCACAGCTCCCCAGAACAAAACCTGAGGTACAATGTCCACTACTGTGTGGCATACTTGGGACTGTGGAAATAGCAATCCACTTTGCAAAACCTCATGAGTGATTTGCTGAAGTACAAGCTGGATCTTTCATCATCACCCCCTTGCATAGAGCCATAGACTGGTTTGGGTTGGAAGGTTGGAAGGGACCTTGAAGCCCATCCAGTTCCAATCCCCTGCCATGGGCAGGGACACTTTCCACAAGACCAGGCTGCTCCAAGCCTCTGTGTGCAACCTGGCCTTGAACACTGCCAGGGATGGGGCAGCCACAGCTTCTCTGGGCACCCTGTGCCAGCGCCTCAGCACCCTCACAGGGAAGTGCTTCTGCCTAAGAGCTCATCTCAATCTCCCCTCTGGCAAGTTAAAGCCATTCCCCCTTGTCCTGTCTCTACAGGCCCTTGTCCAAAGCCCTTCTCCAGGTTTCTTACTGGGCTCCTGTAAGACATTGAAGGGCCACAGTAAGGTCTCCCTGGAGCCTTCTCTTCTCCGGGCTGAACCTGGATTTATCATCAGTGATAAATCAGCTTGTAGGACCTGTGCAGTTCTGTTAGTGAGATGTGGAGGTGGGAAATGTAATGGTAGTTCATGGACCCTCACACAAAAGACTGTCACCAGCAGACAGTCCACTGCAGGTGTCCCTAAGCATAACACATTCCACCTTCAAAAAAGCACAGCTAGTAGCATTAATCACGCTTTTAATACCTCCATATTACACACCATGGATTCAACCCATAACTTTACCTGTGGCCTCAGTGCCCCCAACAAGAATGTCCCTCTGGATTTTTCCATCATCTTCATCTAAAGCAAACCAGCGTCCAACTGGGAACTGGTACACACATTTGTTGCCAATGTCTTCAATAATCACCTAAGAGAAAAGAAACAGCACTTTTTAAAATAACATGGGAAAAGCTATCATGTTACATGAAGGGGTGAAAAAAGAGCAGAAGCTTCACGTAAACTCTCTCACCTGGTATTTAATATATTCAATAGTCAGGCAGATCCCTCTCTGCTCCCTAATTAAGTACTGGTAGAATTTCAGACAATCAGTGAGTAAAAAAAGCAGGCTTTTTTATTTTCTCTTTTTATCCAGTGAACTCAATCTGCATCTTTCACCGTGTATGAGACCAGATGTCTCTGCTAGCAAGACCAGCTGGCTGGTCTGTCTTCCTTCCCTCCAGAGCCCGTTTGCTGGCTATCCTTCTCCATCAGCTGAATGGCAGCTCTTTGTTCTACTTTAGGAACAGGCTGTCTTCTTTCTCTCTCAGTTTTAGAGCTTTGTTATAAAATAATACCAAGGAATTTCAGGACAAATCAAGACCATCAGATCAGCTTGTGTGACCTAATGAAATTGTGTGATCCCACTGGATTACTCCAGAATGGAATCATTGGAAAGACAGCTAAGAAACCCCACAGTAGGAATAGTTTTTATTTGGGAGGATTTGGCTGTTGAACCTATGTAGATACAAATTTTATTGAAACAATCTTCCTTTTTAATGCTAGATAAACTAACGTTAACTGCTTGGAGTTTCTTGCATCTCCTCCCAAGGGATTTCTTACCAGTATCTTGTTCTGTATTCCTGAATCTTGTCATAGAGTTACTGCAGTGTTTTAAACAAGCATTGAAGAGTACTGAATATTTTCAGCCAGAAAAGAAGAAATAAAAAATGTCTATTCACCTTCATGGCAAAGAAATAAACCCCCAAAATCACTATAAGGGATTGAAAGTCATTGCCACTTTTCTCTGCCTTCTCAGCAAACAGTGAAAATATGAAATCTGTCCTTTCTGATAGATTTGTGAAACCATTTCTGGGAACCAGAACTTCCCCTCTTGTCACTCAACCCACACTGTGCTGTTTCCTGTAGTGTTACTGATCCTTGTTGTGTCTCTGTAGACACAGACAGCAGCGTCTGCCAGGGCTGGGATTGTCAGCATGAGCGAGCAGTGCTGTGCTGGAGTGTTAGAGACTAAAATATATGAGGCATTGGAGTAATATCAACACTTTGACCCCCCTCTACCATCTGATCCTCTTTGGGTGCCTGTTAATATGTTTATTCATATATTTAGAGGTGGAAAAAAAGCCCTGAGTATAAACCACGCTGAAAATACAAGACACATGAGAAGAACTTTGAGTGATGCTTAACAGGTCCATCCAGGAGTGACAGCACCCCCAAGTATTGGAGCAAATTAAAGAAAAATATCTACCAACAGTAGATGATAACTGGGATGTTTCAGCTCATTCGTCCAAGCTTTCAGTTGAACTTGCAAGGCAAAAGGTGCCTTTTACTTAATCACTAACCTCTGAGCTGTTCCTGTGCAGAACATAGGATTAGCGTGTTGCCTGCAACTAGTCACTACTTCAGGCTTTGGGTCTTAGGCAAAACATGTCCTGTAGACTTCATCTGTAATGTGAGAATAAGGTTCCTTCTCTGTGGGTTTCTAATCCCTCTCCCTTTCCTTCAACTCTATTTGTTACACGGGGCACAACAGCTTTCTTTTTTATCCTCTGCATTTTTTGTGGACATCCAACATAAAAATTTCTTGTGCAGCATATGGTGGTGGTGGAAAAGTATGTGCTAATATTTGCATTAGTGATACATCAAACCACCCTCTCATCCAGGATTTATAAATTTGGGGTCACATCTTCAGTGGATTAAAGCCAGCTGTGTTAAATTACACCAGCAGAGGAAAGAAAATGAGATTAGAGGAAAGAGCAGTCATACATTTCTTCTTTTAAAATATTCCTTCAACCATTCCACTAAAAGCTGCTTAGAGCTTTCATGACTTAGAGCAGGAGATTAAAATGAGGATGAAAGTAGAAGAAAGGTATCTTTGTGGCAGGTATATCTCTTTTGCTGTGCCCATGATAAATCACTTAAATGTGGCCAGGTTATAAGTCTTTTCAAATTTCCAGTGTCAACAGACTCAACAGATATTTCTTAGGCTCTGGTATCTTTCCCATCTTGGTAATGAGTCAAGTCAAGAGAATGCAAAGGGGTTGGACAGTTCCCCCTCTTCTGTCAAAGAAACTGCAATGACTGAGACATGAGAAATATTAGAGCAGGCAGATTTAAATCTTCACAGCTGGATTTTCTCACTGCCACAAAGCTGCCTGAGATGCTCAACAACTTACCCTAACCCAGAGCGTCCCTCGTTCTATAACTACCCAATTGGAATCTGCTGCACCTGATTTAGATGCGCCACAGTGGCATGTACCAGGCTCCTGCCAGTGCTTCATCAACCCCCCTTGGCTCTGCAGAAAAAGAAAGTGCTGGAGAAGATACTTCTGGAAAGGTGAAAACTTGATTTGTGCCTTCCTCCATAGCCAGGGACCTGATTCGGCAGCAAACATCCTTGTATTTCTCGGCATCAGACTGCCAAGAGAGCAAATGAGGTATTCTGATTCCACAACATGCTTATCTTAAATGTCTCAGAAGTAACTAACCTTTGCAAGGAACCAGCCAGCAGAGCCACCCTTGTTGTTATGCCCTATATTAATTTTCCTTAACTTTCCCAAATTTGGAGCATCAAGTGTGAACTTGTCCTCAGCTCCCTTTTCAAAGTTGTCTTTGTCATTGTCCAGTTTCCTCACACCTGAGAAAAAATAAAGAGATTAAAAAACAAAGAGTAAGGGGTTACTGGCACATGCGTGTTGTAGGTGAAGAAATATTTAGGAATGTCACAACTGACTGAATTAAATACCCTCCAGGTAACAGCTCTCTGAAACCAGGATTCAAGGTTAAGACAGAGAACTTTATATTCTAATAAAAAAAGGTAGCTTTTCTTGAGCACGCAAAAGACCAGGATTTTTACTCTGATGTCAGAGCTACTTACAGCTTTCAGAGTTTTTAGAAATATATATATATAGATGGCTCTTGTGTCTTTTTTTCTCAAACCACCACATTTCCCTTTTATTTTTAATGTCTTTAAAAAATCTCTAAACTGTTTAAAAACAGGCTTTGGTCACAAGATGCAGATTTTGACTTTTCAGGATAGGATTCTTTGCTGCATTGCACAGGAAGGATTTATTTTCAAATTGGGATCCAATCAGGGCTATTAGCTTTTCCTGATCTCAGAGGAGCTTTGCCTTATGAAAATTATTAAAGTGATGACCCAGGTTGCATCAAGCACTGTTTATGTGTGAATGATGCTGGGAATGGGATTGAACCCACCCAAGGCACCAGTGCAAGAAAGGTGTTAGAGGTAAATCTATCCCTCTTACTTTAGGAGGATGAATCTTTTTCTAGGGTTGCTATTTCTCTGTGTAGATATGATATGAGTGCCTGGACAGCCAGCTTAGATTTAGACTCCAGCTTTCAGATGTCTCCAGAGAGATCAGATGAATTAATCAAGGATGAGACCTATCCACTACATTTCATAATCAGTTCAAGGGCACTTGGCAGACATCATATCATTATTTCTTGAATCTGACAGGATAGGTGCAGTATAGAAGAGAGACAGTATTTGCTCTCAAGGTCTCCAGGAATTTTTACACACTCTTTTCCATAGATTCTGGTCTGGGTACAACTTTTATTATTAGTCAATTAAAAATATTTTTAAAGAAACACAAATTCAAGCTCCCAGATCACTGTTGCAATGCAATCTGCAGAAAAAAAAAAAAAAAACAACCAAAACCAAAAATACCTAAATGAACAAAGGAATAAGCTCTCACCATTAACTTAAAGCCAGCTAATAGAAACCTTGGTTAGATTATCTTTCAAAATGGCCAAGAAGGCTCAGTCACAGCCTTTGCCCCACTGAAAAAAACAGTATCATCTGTCCAGTGACACAGAAACATGGGACATGCAGCTTTGACTGTATGCACTGTAAATACACATTGGTGCTGGATCCCTCAGTGGATGGGTACTTACTGCACTGGTTTACACTGGTGCTTTATGTTGTGTTTCCCAAGGGTCTGGGGTTTTTTGGTGATAGGTAACTTCAGTTATTCTCACATTCCAGCCACAACTGCTGCACTGCAGATGCAGCTTCCAGAAGTTGTGGATGTGAGAAACCCCAGAGCTAACACCACCATTTGTTGTGCCCTTCACTCAGCCAAATTATTCTGCCTTTGCCAGATTGCTGTTGTGTGTTGTTCAGATAGCAGGCCTGCAAAGCAGGAAGAAGTATTTTAGGAAATGATTTGCATTTGAATACCTGTGTCTCCTTTCTCACCAAAGATATTGATGAAGACATCCGCATCTGTTCCACTGCCGCTAACTTCACCAGTAAAAACCCGGACCACGTATTTGTTGACTGCAAGAACAGAGGCAGAAATCCCAATACATTAATAACTCAGCAGTTTGATACAAAACATAATAGTACAAACCGATTCAGGCTGTGCTGCTATCTTGAAAGCATGCCTGAACCATGGCTCCTGGTACACTGACCCTCTACTGTATAAAAGGAACAAAATCCATATGCAAAGCTCTGAAACTACATATTCACTGCCCAAGGCAAGAGGAACAGGTCACTTAGTTCCTAGCCTTGAAAGCTGAAATAGATGAGAAGAAGGTGAAAATTTTGATGCTGATACATGGCCATTAAATGAACTAAGACCCACACACAGCCTTGCTTTCCGAAAACATCAATGAGTTACAGAGCCAGACATGTGCCCAAACTCAGAGCTGACCCCTCAGGTCCAAGTACTATCCTAGAGCTATTTTTAATTATATCCTAGAACTAATTTTGCAGCTTAGCTTACATGGTTGCTGCCTGGCTGGTGACAACTTGTATTTTGAGGAAAGGTCAGTACAATGCACAATGCACAAGCACAAAAATGTGAAGGTGACCACCCTGTTACTCTGCCCAGTTCAAAAAAAAAAAACAAAACCAAATAATAACAATTCAGTCCATTCCATGGAGAAACAGGAGTAAAGCCCAGGATGAAGCTACATTATGTGTGGCACCAAGCAACATGAAGATCACTTGGGTGAGCCACACCACGGACATTTCACATATGTCATGTCAATGATTTTGAGAAGCAAGTTCTTCCAATGGATCAGGGTGGGACTAACTTGGCTCCAAAGGACAGCAAGGGTGAGCTCAGTTTCTTCTGAAACCAACAAGAAAACTCCCTTGGCCTTCAGTGTGACTATATTTGGGCCAAACATGAGCAACTTTCAAAACCTACCACCAAAGTCTACCTGACTAAAAAACGTTGTGGCTGCCCCATCCCTGGCAGTGTTCAAGGCCAGGATGGACAGGGCTTGGAGCAATCTGCTCTAGTGGAAGGTGTCCCTGCTCATGGCATTGGAACTGGATGAGATATAAGGTCCCTTCTAACCCAAACTGGTCTGGGATTCTATGATTCTATGACTACATTGTTGCTCCAAGCAAACTCAGACATGACTGATGTCTGGTGTTGTACTCTGTGCAGAACCAGCACTGGAGACAAATAGCAAGGTACAAAATAAAACTAATGAAGATTAATGCAAAATCTACTGAGAGGTAGACTGTCATATATGCCTTCAACAAAGCGTCTGTACTCTGTATTACTGAGCCCTGGCTAGCTGATACTGAAAGCTCTGTGCTACATCACCTCTTTATTTCTGAGTCCTGGTCATGCTTCTTCTGCCAAAGAGACAAATGCACAGGGCACCTCACTTCCCTTGCAGACCTTTTGCACCATGATCCATGGTGAGCAACATTTTCCCTTTGGCAGGACCAAAGTTAGGGGAGAACCTTGGCTCCCCAGCCAACACCAGAAATGAATGTCCTCAGACCATCACAAACACTGGGTTACCAGTCCTAGAGCAGGTCAACTGCCTCCTCCATCATCACCAGTGTATATTAAAACTTGGTCTGAAAGGCAGCAGGCACCTTGGTGCTCCCGCTGAGGCAGAGGATGTGAGAGCAATCGTATGAGAAGCGGTTGTCGTACCATCCTCTGAATTATACAGATGATCTCAGCTCCCGGGCTGAGGAGTACAAGGGCAGAGCCCACACAGAAGGGAAAATCATGCTTGAGCATGGTTTAATGCCTGAAGTTCCTGGCACCCCATCACAAAACGTGCTATTACAAATAAAACAATAATGATAAAAGTATGATAAATACTAAATAACAAGAAAGGGGAGGACACAGTCAGGCTCAGACAAGGGGGAAAATGCCCTAATGTTTCTCTTTAACTCTTTTGTTTCAGTTCACATTCCTCTAACAACCTGCTAGAAATATGCCAACTCCTAAATATTTCATTTGCATTAGATGGTGCAATTTACAGCTTCCATTTGGCCACTAAGCAGTTCTACCTATGTGATCCATTGTGCACTGGGGTTTTTAACCACAGGCCACATTCTTCAAGAAGTTTGCCCCTTGTGCCTCCTCTAGAATATTTATTCTGATGTCAGTGGTTAATTTACTACTCTGCATTTCAGGGGCCAGAAGAACCTGAAGGGATTAAAAAGAACCACCAGGACAAGCATCAGTGACTGAACTTAAATTACCCTTGTAGGGTCAAGTTTTATGCCTTTGAAGTATAGATCAGAAGGATGGCAGAACACATGCAGAGCACCAAGCAGGACACGTAGAGAACAAGTCCATGAAGACCAGTGCCCAATGACCAAAAACAGGACAAGAAGGGCACCTTGTATAGCTGCCACAGAAATACATCTGGTCAGCCAGAAAAACACTGGTAAAATTCTCTTTCAAATCTAATTGAAAGATTTCTCAACATGGCTATATTTCAAATCTAAGTGATATAAAGAAATGACATTATTGGACAACCTGCTCAGAACAACAAGTGATCCCAAGGGATCACAAGTGATCCCAAGTACACACACATCATTGCTGTCAGAGTGTCAGCACAAAGATCCCCATGGTGGAGCTAATTCCTGAGACCACAGAGATGCACTGGGATAAGAGTTTGGGCTGGTGGCAATTACAGGACACTGTGCTGCATGGGTTTTATGTTGTCCTCTAAAATACAAGCAAGGATTGGGTGCATGGCTTGTGCTGGCCATGAACATTGGAACACATCTCCATGCTCCTTGCAGAAGTGTTTCCAAGAGCATTAGTGGCCTTTGGCTTAGGTCACAGCACATCCCTGCTTCACAGACCATAGGGTCATGCCTAACGTGTTCTCACCAGGTTTTCCCCTTAATTTTTTCGTAAGTCCCCAGTTCTGAAACTGTGCACTCAAGCCATTCCCCATACCTGCCCCACTCAGCTCTATGAGCAGGACTATTTTACTTCCTTCATCTTCAGGAAGCAAACAGATCAATTCTGAGCCATGCTGAATTTTTGCCAGCTCTCTCCCTCTCCAAGCAATTCAACACTCAGCTGCAGCAGAGAGAGTGAGTGCAGAGTGAGAGAAGAGAGAGTGGCTCTTCATTCTGCTCAGGGGTCCTTCTGTGCTTCACACATCAGCACATCTTGCAGAATTATATGGTGGATGTGCAAATTTAAATAGAAAGGGACGTCGCATCTCAAAAAGACAGCGAGGATTCAGCTGCTAGAAGCATGCAGGAAAAGGCTGTCATTGCAGCCAAGCACAGAGCTGGCTGGAGTCAAGCACTCTTCATTTTAAGCATGGGTGGATGTTCCCTATTCTGTAAGCCCTTAATCATGCATTATTTAAAACATTAACATCATCTTTTCAGAAATACCCACTTGGCTTTTTTTAATCTCAATACATGCCTCTGAGTTCATCTGCAAAATAGAGATCAAGATGTTGCCTGGATATCTTTTTTCTAAGTGCTTCTCCTAGCACTGGGAACATGCAAAAATTATAATGTACGGCTGTGTAAAAGCTGTGACTCCATCTTCCACTGCATGCTCACTGCAGCACAGGCATGGAGAGGGAAGCCTTCCTAGAAGCAAAATTACCAGCTTCAGAGGCACGAACTGCAAGATGCCAAGTGCAGAAAAGCACAAATTCAGTAATGAGAACCATAACTATTTTCTGCTGTCTTTCCTGTTCCAGTTGCAACAGACGAGCTCAAATGTCCTGTGAGGTTACAGCACCTTCCTTTTCTTTATGGTTGGGTGTCTGCTCTGTTAGAGACACTCCAGCTTCCTCTGACACCTCTCATTCAACACACACAAAGCTGTCTGAAGAAGGCATTTGGAGACGTTGCATGGATGCCATTTCTGGGAAGCAGCAGGGTGGCACTAACTGATATAACCCCACTGCATGAATTCAGCAGAGGTGTGACAGTCAAGCACCTTGTCTGCTGCTAATCAAGTCAGTGACAGCTCTCAGCATCTAAGAGGAAAGATTAATATCACACAGTGGAATAGTCGGGCTCTTTCCACAGAGACCCAAGGTGTTTATTTTAGTCATGGGCTATGATGCCACAGGCACTTCCAGCACTGCTCCTGGGGGAGAAAGGGCATGGAGCTGCAGCCCTCCTAGCCCTAACGTTCCCCATTGAGGCTGGTCCCACTGCCATTTCCTTTTTATCCAGACCCATCCCTCCTGGGTGCTCTCGTGCAACCTCTCTCCTGCCTCCAACCATGAGAAATGCATGGACACATCCCAGCCAAATCCTTCTACCTACAAGCTACAGCTGACTGTTCATCCATGTGGTATTGATCTGCCAATGCTGTTTACTAAGCAGTATGATATCATGGTCACCTGAAATGCCATAGGATGGAATTGCCTGAAGACATCTTGTAACTAATATTGTTTGGGGTACTAGGGTGTTTATGCACAAGCTGCTGAGTCTGTAGCAGCAGGAACAACAGATTTAGGCAGGAAAACAAAGCCGACCATGCTTCACTACCTAGAGTTATTACTCCCTGAGGGCACAGTGAGCTCCTTGCTACGCATCCCTGCCTGCCTCCCATGTGCATGGCCTGCCATGGAGCAGGGCAGCAGCATAGCATCCAGAAGCTAAGAAATGTCACAGCCTTCAGAAGCAAAACACACTGGGTTAAAAGCAGGGAACGAAGTTGTAGACAGCGATGGATTCTTCTCATAAGGCAAGTTTTAGCAATTATCCTTCTGTTTTCGCAGTGCTCCCAAGGGTGCACAAGCTCCATCCTATAATGCTCAGCACTGAGTGGGCAGATTTCAGAAGAAGAAGGGTAGAGGCACCACTACTGCCTCTGAATTGCTGCTGGCAAAGAAACACATTTGTGGTTAGTATGAAAAGCAGAAAGAATTGTTATTAGAGGGAGAGGAGGGTGCCTGGATCTGCAGGCAAGGCGCAGCTTCAACCTGAGTCTGCCACAGACTTTTTGCACAAGCTTGGGAAGGTGATTTAAAGTCCATATGTCTCAGTTCTTCTCTGTCATATCAAGTCAGTCATTCCAG